AGCAGGAGGGGGGTCCCGCAGCCCCAGCAAGGCGCCCAGGGGCCGCTGCGCCCTGATGCTGGCACCCATGGCCGACGACGAGGCTGAGCCCCAGGGCAAGTACGAGCACCCAGGGGACCAGGACCCCCCATCCCCGCAGCGCCCTGCACCCAGCCCGGGCCACGGCAGGTATGGGGCAGGGGCACGTCCCCATGCCAGCACCGGTGGTGCCCCCATGTCCCCAAAGCAGGGAGGGGGCTGTAACCCCCAGGGGGCCAATGGTGACCCCATTCCCTCCTGGTCCCCAGGGCCCTCCTGCTCGCTGAGGACATCACAGCCAGTTCCTCAAGGGGCTCGTGGGGCTGCTGGAGAGCGCTGCCGCCATGCAGGTGGGTCTTGGTCCCTGCGGGGTGAGGGTCTGGGGACAGCCCTGCCCCCATGTCCCCAACCCACGCAGCTCCTTGCCCCATGGAGGCGGAGGACCAGCCTGACCCTGGCCCCCAGCAGGACGCCCATGCCCAGCCAACCCCCCTCTGTCCCCACAGGTTGGGGTGCTCCAGCCCTTCTCCACTCACAGCCCTGGGGAGCAGGGCTGTAACCTGGCTGATGCCCCCCGGAGCCCCCCGGCCTGGCTGCTGCAGGCAGAGCTGCCCGGTGGCTTCCCCCCCTGCCTGGGCACTGAGGAGGGGGCCAGCAGCCCGGCTGCACTCACCAACACCGCCTGCCTCTGGGAGGAGAGCGGGGGGGACACGCTGCCCAACAGCACCCCACTCTGGGCCTCACCCCTGGAGGTGTGTGGGGTCCGGCTGGGGGTCCCACCAAAGCTCCTGGGGTGCCACCAGGGATCTGGGGTCCTACCAAGGCTCCTAGGGTCCCAGCAAGGCTCCAGGGGTGCTACTGGGCACAGTGCCATGGCTGGAGCGGAGGGGACAAAGGGTTCCCCCAGGGCACAGGAGAGGTGGCCAGGGGGCTCCTCAAGGGATGGAGGGGGTCAGGGTACCCCAGGGGAGCCCGGGGGCAGACCTGAGGGCGAGGGGCACCCAGGCTCCATCCAGGACCCAGATGAGAGCTCTCCCCCTTGCCACAGGAGAATGGGAGGCCCAAACTGGAGCTGGTCCCCAACTTGGGGGTATACATCACCCACCCGCAGCTGGACAACCTCTCACAGGTCTCCACCGACAAGCCCAAGCTCATGACCCAGTGCCCGCTCAATTACTTCTTCTCACGGCAGATGCTGGCCTGGTCCTCAGCCACAGGGCAACGCATCGCCTGCAACACCACCACCATGGAGCAGCCCCTCCGCCTGCCCGTGGCTGTGGTCAACACCATCAAAGGTAGGGGATGGAGGGGTGGGACAGGGTCCCTCATCCCCTCTTAGTGCCACCTTGGCCATGGTGGTGGGTCAGGAAAAGCCACGGTGCCACCTGCGAATGGGGCCAGGTCCCCCTCCGCCCCACAGAGTACGTCACCAAGATGTGTGGCCGCGGCTGCGACTTCAACGCTGTCATCAACAGCAAGTGCGGCACGTCCCGGCGGGCCGTCAAGAAGATGGTCGTGAAGATGAAGTGAGCCGAGACCCACGGGACGTCCACGTCCCTCCGGCCACGCCAGGGGATGAGCCCAGAGCCCTCCGGTGCCGCAGATGGGAGAGGGGACAGGGAGGGACATCATGGGGCTGGTGGGATCGCACCCTTCTGCTTAGGGAGGGGCTGCGACCGGAGGGTTCACCCCACGGCGCCCAGCTGGCTCAGCCCCGTGCCCCTCGGTGGCAGAGCCCTCGACCACGAGTCCTGCTCCCTCCAGGGGCGGGGGCCGGTCAGAGCAGGGATTTGCTGGTGC